GTTGCATCGTCACTTCAGTCTCTGCACGCAGTCTAAAAATTGTCGGGAGCCTATCATCGTGTTACCAATACGTATATAGTAGGGACATATGTCGTGCCTAGTTGCCTCTTCGATGATGCAAAACACATAATTAAAGGTGGACGCGATCCTGCGTATCTGTGAATTTGGTCTGCCTCTTTTGTGTAATCTTTGAGTGACATCATCTGCTTTGTGTGTGCGTGTGTGAGTCTGTGTTTGTGTGTGTGTGTTGTATTAGTGTGCGTGTGTGTATGTATGGGTGTATGTGTGTGTAGGATCAGGAGAGTGTTTGTGAGTGTGTGGGAGGGGGGGTGTAGGCATATGCGGGCATAGAGTGTAATGTTTAGATCTATATTCTTAGTGGGTGTGTGTTTGGGGTGGGGTGGGGTGTGTGTGTGTGTGTGTGTGTGTGTGTGTGTGTGTGTGTGTGTGTGTGCTTGTGTGTGTGTGTTCTTGTGCCTGTGTGCGGGAGCTTGAATGTATCTGTCTTTCCTGAGGGGCTGTTCTGTTAACTGTAGGTCCGTAGAGTATACCTTTAAGTGCACAGACTAAAAATAAGTGTGAGTCTGTTTCTGTCTGTTAATATTTGTGTTTTCGTGCGTGCATACGTGTATGTGTACGTGTGTGTGTGTGTGTGTGTGTGTGTGTGTGTGTGTACGTGTTTACGTGTGTGTGTGTATGTCTGTGTGTATGTGTGTGTATTTGTGTACGTGTGTGTACGTGTGTGTACGTGTGTGTACTTGTGTGTGTATGTGTGTGTGTGTGTGTGTGTGTGTGTACGTGTGTGTGTGTATTTGTGTGACATACATTATACTCCTTCAGATCCAGTGGGATGCGTTTGGCGGGAAATGTGGTGAATGTGGAGATCCATGGAACAGCTTTCCCCAAGATAATCAGCCTCCGTATGGCAAGTATGTACTTCAGAAGCTTCCTTGTATTATTGTATGTTGTTCTAAACGGTCTTGTCTGTCTATCTCTCTGTCTGTCTGTCTGTCTCTTTCTTTAACTCGCTTTCTCTCTCTCTCTCTCTCTCTCTTTCTCTTTCTCTCTCTCTCTCTCTCTCTCTCTC